CAGGGTCGGTGGATCAGATGGTGGAGCAATCATTACACCAATATCTAACGCACCTGATGAAATTGCAGCAATCAAAGACGCGAATTTCGGCTATCAAACAGTCAGGACAACAAAGACAACGATCCCTGATGAATGGGGGAGCCGTGAATATTCATAGGTATGCGGTAACATGGCGACTCCCTCCTATAAATACTGCAGCCACCCTTGTGCATGAAGCACATTTTGTTTCTGATGATGAGTTCGAGCAGACATCCGAAACGTCGGCTAATAAAGCTCTTGTCTCAGCGATCGTGTTTCCTTCTTCAAGTTTGGCCGTTGTTGCCGACGATGGCACCCATGGGCCCCACAGCAAGGTGAGAGCAGGCACGGCGACTGGAGCGTAAAACAGTTTATAGTGAGAGCAGACTTGCACACAGCATCTACCGGACTCTCCTCCCCCACCTGGTCACAGTGACACGATGAAACCCGCACCTGGGCGTACCATCACACCCTCTGGTCTACAACAAACACTTGACCAGGATCTTATGCCCCGACAGCGGTCGCGGCGTGAGCGTACAACTAGGGCTGCCACCACACTCCGGTGGTTGGCATGTGTTATGTGTACCCATGCCGGAATTCGATCTACCTCCCGCGTTGTTCCAGCTCATTCTACCGCGTGGCTCGTTTTAGGGGCATCGAGGAAAGACATAACCTACTGATCAACCGCAAGTGTCTGTAAGAGAAGACCACAGGTTTCGGGGGTCAATTCTGGCATTCTCCATCTTTGTCAGCCGTCCATATTCCAGCCCCGTTTCTGTGGATTGTACTTCGGTCGACATCTCTGAGGCGAGGCAGAGGTGGTCACTTTTTCACTGACGGTTATGGGGCACCAATTCCAGTAGCCCCATTGTCTCAGAGGCCACGGCTGAACGTCATGGCAATGAACAGACAGGCAGTGGTCAGCATCACAGCTACCTTGCGTGGAGTCAGCGACAAGTAGTCCGCATCCGAGGTTGGCGAATCGCCGGGACCACCGCAGAATAAATCTCCCACGCAACGACAAAATTTCGTCCGCTTTGAAAGGTCGGATTGTTCTTTTTTATTATTGGTGGGCACTTGTGCTTCGGGACCCCCGGAAGTTCGGTCAAAGCGCTCGGACCCACCCAAAACTCCCCTTTGGCGCGTCTTGGCGGACGACGACGATGATGATTTTGTGTGACTTCCGCATTCGAGGGCAAGTTATGACTCGAAGAACGCTAAAACCATCTTTAATTTTGAACTCTGATCGCTACTTGATCCCTAAGGTGTTGTAAACATTTAACAGACAAAAACATGCTAGTAATCTGAACATTCACGTTGGAAGACATTGTGTCTGCATGACTCACGACTCAGAAACCTACTTATTTCACATTCGGTTTTTACTGAAAGTTTACACCACCGTCGGCCATCAATGTATGCGCCGGGTAGCTCACAATCAGGCTACCAGACAACGCTGGTCCTCCTGCGGATTCCGTCACCCCGAGAAACATCAGAAAAATAGCTGAAGTATTTCCGAAGGAGGCCTTTCTTGCCAATTATGTCGGAGAGGAGTATGCACCCTCCCAAGACTGCTTCTGGCATTTTCATGCCCTGCAGCAAATGTTATTGCCGGTTTCGATTGTTGTAGCAGAGCGGCTAGCTCTGGTGAAGGTTGGAGCACTATTCAGTTCAACTGATGACAATCTGTCCTTTTTGACCTTCTGACAAGCGTTCAAGCGGCTGCCAGCATCTTAGTTATATCTGGTTCATCAGTGGATTTACAAACGATTACTCGTGGCCCAATTTTGACTGCCCTTTTGACAGACCGTCTTGAGGGTGTAAATTACACCGCTTGATCGTTGAAGCTCCCATCTCCGTAAAGAATGGTTAATAGCAACCGTGAACGTCTCATCCAATTACAGTAGGTACGCTAACTCATGAAATGCTAACCAATATTCTGCCGTGCGTTTTCGACTCGAAAATATTGCCTTGGTAGCAGCATAATTCCAAAATACTTCAGTTGCTTCGGGATGCCGGATTTCGAAGGAAACTCCGTTCGGCCACCAACAGAACTACACTCTGTAAAAATTACTACTTAAGTAGTATGATTTTACTCATTTATTTTCGATGCCCATATAAATTCAAATATGTTTACTGCCTTAATCGTGTGGTAGAAAATCGCACCTTTGTGAGACTTAATACTTGAAGGAAGGATAGAGTTTGATTTAAAAAAAACTTTCGAATTCCCGAATTTTTTTGAAATCGGCCTGCCCTAACACTTGAATTCAGGGTTTCTAAACTACAAGCTGCATAGTTTTCGTGTTCGTTAAATCATACATTTCTATGCGGTATTAAGAGAGGATCATATAGGGTTCATGCACTGTAGCAGTGAATTCGAGTCCTATCGTAAAATTTGCAAGCAACCTTAGTAAATGCATAGACAAGATGTTTTATGAACGGGCATTTCACGGTCTTCAAAAATCTCATAATTATAAACTTTTTCAAACCTGACTTACATCCTTCCTTCAAGTATAACATTTGAAGAAGACTTAATTTTCTACCAAATAAGTAAAGGAACAAATATTTTTATGCAATGGTAGAGAAGAGCTCACCTATAGTTTCCGCGGAATTCACTCATCCCGTTGTGCCTTATGGGCTCTCTCTCGAGCCCAACGATCAGCCGCACAGCGGCGCATGATATAGACAGAATGGCATTGCCGGCAAATTTAATTCTAATACCAACCCTAAACTCCATCACAACCCAACCCTAACACCAACCCTCATCTCTCTGCCAATTAACAAGAAAACCCCGAAACAGCCGCGGATCATTCCCTCCTCTTGTTCCGTTTAGTGGTTGGAACACAAGGTAAACTTCTACACATCCGAACTAACCCAACAACTCTGTGTTTCCCTAGCAGATGGGGCACTTGATTTATAAACCTGCTAGACGTAAACGCCGTTTCTATAAGAAAATGTCGGTTAGATGGCGTACCAGCAAATAAATTTGTCACAAAAAGTGACTCTTCAGCCCGCGAAAAACTTAGACCCCTGTCCTCTGACTTCCTGACAAACCGCGAAGCTCGTATTTTACATCTACCACCCAGGATAAATATGTGAAAGCCACTCTCGGCTGCTGCTAATAGGATGTGAGCCCATAAACCAGCTAAATGACCGCCCGCAACCGGTTGGGGATGAAGTTGGCCGTTCGGGATAAATAAGCGGAAACTTGGCATTCAGGTAGCGAACAATTCATTGCAGTAATCTGGGAGAAGAATTGCCCGGCAAAAGACTTACAAACAGTACTGTCAGCCTTTACTGGCAAAAGGAACTTGCAAAACCCCTTCTTCCTTTAAAAGACAACAAATATTGGTTTCGAGCAAGCTGTTCTGGCATTTTTAGGCGAAAAGCCAGTTAAGTTCACTTGTGCGAGGGTCACTTAGTTTGTTACTCGCATACCAAATGTAGACAGTTCTTCCCAAAGCTGTGTTTCCAGTGCAGCCTTGATTGATAGTCAACAAACTAGGGTGCACGTTTATTCGGGACTTGAAACATCACTGGCTACTAATGTCAGTCTCCCTGTTCTGATCGACTCTTTTCGTCGTTTCAATCGACTCTGGTGGCAGTGAGGGTTTTCCGGTTCATAGGTCCGGTATTATTCCATTAGTGAGTCAGATGTAGTTACGTAGCCCCACCCGAATTAAACAAACCCCGGCCACCTGTGATACGAGACCGGTGGTAATAGTGGTTTTACATGTGGAGCCGGGGAACGCACAGGCGACGAGGCCAATTTGTTGTATGAAAAAGAAAAGCTATTGGGAATGCGCGGTTGTACTTTGAGTGGTTGAGATATAGTTGCCCTAACCCCTAACCCTCACCCCCAACCCGAACAGTATTGTGTCCATCAGGTGGGGCTACATAACCACATCTTACCCATTAGTGCTTAGCCGACATTTTGACTACCGCGAACAATTATGTCCACCGAGTATCCCACAGGGCGATGAACGCAGGACGACGACGACTTGCGCGCGAATTAGTTATCAGTGATGGTAGGCCCGCTCATCACTTGTCGCACTCTCTTCTTTCTCATTCACCTAGACTCCGTGGAAAGGTGCAGCGGCCGACAAAACAAAGCAGCCCCTCTACGCGTCCCACACACAATCTGACGCTAAGCACATGTGCTGGACTTCTACGGTGGCAGTTCGGATACGGTCAATGCGGAGCCGCCTACCGTGAGGGGCAGCCACTGCAGTCTGAATCTCCATTCTGCGAGCACAGACTTAGTCCGTTTGTTGGCAACCTTCGGAGCAACGCGATTCAGGGCACCGTGGTAACTTCACCCACATCAGACTGGGCTGGATTCCCCAGTCTCGGCCTCACTCTCTCTTCTCTCGCCCTCTGACACCAGTCGATTGTCTGAGCCCGTCGGCTTTCTTGTGTTGGTACTGGACCCACTTGCTGGCGCGACGGGATGCCTACCCCTACGCAAGCAGCCACATCTCCACGTGTGTGGAATTTGTTATGGCATATGTGAACTCTACGCAGTCTGGCTAGCCCGTGCTGTGCCCCAAAAGCACTCACCAGAAAGGCGGATAACTGTTATAACTTCTTTAATCTGATAGCTCTGAAAGTGACTTTTTCGTCCAGTTACCTCGGTATGTTAATTAATATTATTAGCTGGTTCAGCGCTGCGTTGTTCTTGGAAACCCAAAAATACTGTTAACAGGTTCAATTATTATAGCTAGTCTGAATGCAGGCATACTTTTTGGACGAAAAGCCGGTCAAATCCATTTGAAGTGATTACCACTTAGACTGTTTCTGGCACAACAGATCATTGCACTTCTTCTAAACAGACGGGCGTCTGATACCGCCACCGGTCGTTCTGAATCAGCTTTTCCATCGAGTCCAGGTGAGTAAAGCAGGAGAGAGTGTGGTAGATGCTTCGCAAGTATACCATCACTGCAAACTAATTCAGGCGCAAGTCATCGTCTTAGGCCTATCTCAACATGAGGCACACGGTGGATATCGCCCTTCGCGACGTCCGAACTGTCTCGTTTGATGGCCAACTGACTCGGATTCAAACTGGAAACGTGCAGTCCAGACTCGAAGCATCACCGTCTGCTGCCGGTAAATAGGCCAGAAATGGTCATTTCAGGGCCCTTGTTCTGGTCAGTAGAAACCGCTTGATAGACCTTCAGCCATTTTTCCCGAGTAAATCGGTTCTGGTGGTAGCCAGCGCTTCTTTGTCAATTCAGTACTATCCCATTATCGTTGTTTACACAATAACCCAGGTAAAGGCTAACAATCTCCAAATGATTTCCTGAATCCGAGTGTAGGCATGAGCTCAAGAATTCACTGATTCCTCCCCCTGCATCAGTATGTTAATACGAACTAATTTCTGAGTCTGTGTTGGGTTGACCCCGCGGGGGAGTTTCAAATGCCGGATAATGTATTCACAAGTGGGACGCATCCAATACAGATGATCAGGGATGTAGGAAATTGTCTGTCCACTTGTTACTGCTAACTCGAATGCAGTCACGCATAAGTTTTGGATCCTTGTCAGGATAACGACGTCAGTCGCTGGAACCATTAATTCGAGCTTTCGAACCCATGTGAGATTCCATCATCAGAAGCAGTAAAAAACAACAGCAATTGTGTTGGTTTCTCCAAGTGACGCTTGCGTGCATCCCTATCCGAAAATGGGGTCTGATTTTCACGTTGACAACCGACGGCAGATTCATTTGCCGATTCACATTGTTCAGCCTAGAGGTTTCAAGCCAGTCTCTGCGAGTCTTATTACCGTCTCTCGCGCTCGCGAAGTCGAAGTAAAGGCTTTGGTACTTCCTTCTCGCGGACGTCCTCCACTCTGAGTCACTCATTTCTGCCCCGGAGCGAGCAGTCATTCGTGCCGATTTCGCGTCAACGTGTGAGCATCCGAACATCACTCGCACAGTGAGTTCAACCCACCAACTCGTCACTGCGGCAACCGTAGATGGGAGTAACGATAAGCAATAATCACTTCGACTGCGATAGCTTGCTCGGCCGTTGTTGTCATTGTGGATATTTCTCCTGCCACTGGAAAATCACGCAAACAATGTCCCGTGACTTCTCCGATCAAGATGTCAACTTGTTATGCGATTCTCTGTCCCCCTCCTCCCCCAATTAACGGAAGTTGGTTTCCGTTACTAAATAGGATTTGGAGCGATTGTTTTGGCATGTCGCCAGGTGGCTTTTAGATGCAAACGTCTTACAACCTAGTACGTATAGTTATCTATTTATGAATATGGAAACATTGGGACGTCCTGAGAAGCGGTCTACGATCGCGCCCTACCAGTCACCACCGCAACCGTCTGTGTTGTTGTTGCTGTTGCTACTGCTGCTGCTGCTGCTGTTGCTGCTGCTGTTGCTGCTGCTGCTGCTGCTGCTGCTGCTGCTGCTGCTGCTGCTGCTGCTGCTGCTGCTGCTGCTGCTGCTGCTGCAGTGGCCTACTCCGTTTCCATCACATCGACACGGAGATCATCCGATGAGCCAATGAAAAGTCCCGTGGGTCAAATGAGAGAGAGAGCCTTCTCCCTGAGCCCTAAATTCTACAAAACTGTGGTGGAGGGGCACTCGCCGATGGTTCTTACGGAACTCACTCGTTCCGTTGTGTCTTAAGGGCTCTATCTCTCCGGAGCCCAACCAGCAGCCGCAGGATGGTATTACCGACAAAGACAAGAGAGACTGGATTGACCATTTCTGGCTTATCGACCGTCGTCAGCCAGTCATACCCAACCCCGAAGTGGGGGTCGAACTCGTGACCTATTAGTTAGAAATCCAACGCCTCTAACCTCTGAGCCACGGGCTCGTTGTCTTGTTGGTTTGGGTCGGGAATGTACAATGGTAGAGGGACGCTCACCCTGAACAAAAGTGCAAAGTCACGTCAGGTCCAAAAAAGTGTATATAAAATCAGAAAATACGCCTTCTTTAAGTATATAGTTGGGAGAACATGTAACTTGCTAGTAAGTGGGCACAAGAAATAATACTTTTGCGTCTGTTTTCTATGAGATATGATTGAGTTTACAAGGGAATTCTAATTAAGCAGGCATCTTTATGAAGTGCAGTTTATGCAATTGGATGGGAAGAAGCTGCCTTAAAAGCCGGCATTTTGACGTGACCGAAGCACCTGTGATTATGCTACGCGATAATTGGGATTACACACCTACTTAAGTAATATTTTTTAGTCAAAAACACAATTAGTATTACAGTTCTACCTAAGTTACTATTTTGTAATCGAAAACACATTTCAGAATTTCGGTTCCCTTTTCCTTAGTTAGCACATCTGCCGTAGTTTTTTCGAGAAGATTAGTCGTTGCCTTTCTTGCTCGTTTCCATCAAATCGGTCCTGGTGGTTTTGACGTTCGGGCCCGATGAATTTAAATTGCGCTGGCGCCGACCGCATCCCGCAGCCGAACGTCCGCGTTCTTCTGGATTTGCATACGACCCAGACTGAGGATGATTTTGCTGAGACTGCCCTGGCCTGGACCACTTCTGCCTAAATAGTGCCTCTTTCCCTTCAGACCCTCTCCGCAGTTGGATTTACAGCCGCATTCTAAACACAACCAGCAGATGACACCATGTCCGCTTGTGGCATGACAATCGTCACGATGGTCTAGCCACCCGGCGAAAAAGGTAGTCCAGCGCTTCAGGTGCACTGTGTTGTTCGGAGGGCGAAAGATGGCATGGCGGTGAGGCAAGATGACATTGCTGCTGCTGCTGCTGCTGCTGCTCTTTGTATGAGGGGAACTTTGCTGTGAATGCCTTGACCACGGCCGTCGTCCCTCCGCGGTCAGTCGACGGCCGATTGTTTCCGTTGTTGATAGTCTTGATTTGTGAAGACTTCCAGCAAGTTATTGGTCCATAAAAAGACGTTATAGATATCTGCTGGATACACCGAACGTCATTACCCAATTGGGCGTTCATTCAGTCAGGATACTTGGTGCACTCAGTCAGACTATTACATCGATGCGGAAGTTACAGCCTTGTTGGATTGTTAGATAGTATTCACCGTGATTTTGCCCTCACTCGCGGCGCCTGTTCGGGTATATGAGCCTACAGTCAGTGACTGATCTCATGAAATGTTGACCGGAATTCTGAAATGAGTTTTCGATCACGAAGAATTCGTTAGGAGGGAATGTAGTATTGACTATCTAGTGACGCGATCCCGTGATATTTCAGACATGTCAGGCTGTTGGCTTTTAAATGCACTTGTTACGGTCTCCTGCAAAGAATGACTACGTAGACAGTATGCATACTCCTCATCGACTTTCGACGCCCTTACAAATTCAAATATATTTCGCCAAAAAGTCGCACAAAATGTTCTTTCGTCCACTCATTTGGTAGTAAATCGCGTCTTCTTCAAATTTTATAGTCGACGATAGCGTATATTTCGGTTTTACAAAGTTCCTAATTATGAGATCTTTTGGGCTGTGCAATGTCCACTCGAATAGCATCATATTTGTCTGCTTAGTAGTACTCCTGATTAGGTATACGACATTGTCCACATACGTTGCACCCATTTATGAGCCTCATATGGTATTTTAAATGGCATAGAGAAATTTCTATTTTTTGCACAGAAAGTATACAAGGTGTAGACTGAGAATCCTAAGCCAAAACGCAACGTTAGATCGAATTTAAAATTATTCGGAAGAGAAAAACATTTTCAAAACCAAAGTACACCCTCTCGTTTTTACGCAACTCACTCGACCCGTTGTGCCTTGGGGCTCTCTCGGGATGAGTGAGTTCGGTGATCGGTGAGCCTACCTCGAGCATTGCATATTCCCCATCGCACCCGACAGGACAACGAGCCCTTGGTTCAGCGGTTAGAGGCGTTTGACTTCTAACCAACAGGTTGCAGCATAGCGCTCCAGGTGTTCCACACTTCGGGCGTTGGTATGACTGGGTTGACGACGGCTAATAAGTCAGAAATGGCCATTCCGATATCCCTTGTCTTTGTCGGTAATACCATTCTGCGAACATTCTTTCGTCGGGCACAAAGTTCGAAGAAGATGTGATCTGCTACCAAATGATTGTAAGAGGTAATATTTATGGAGGTTTTCTAGCAAATCTTTTTGGATCTAAAATAGCGTCGAAAATCGATGGAAAAATGCATGCTACTTGAGTATTAGCTCTTCACCGAGTGCGATTTTCACAGGTGTCCGAAAATAGGCTCATTCAGAAGACGACATCCTAGCACGTCTGAGATATTGGAGGATCGCGTCAACATTACATCTCCACCTAGGGAATCCTTCCCAATCGAAAACGCGTTTCAGTATTTCGGTTAACATTGCATGAGATGGGCCACTAACTGAAACTACAAGTGGATACAGAGTACCGAAAAATACAAGGAAGACAAGGATGGATATTTCTGGTCTAGTGACTGTCGTCATTCAGTATGAAATGATATGATGCCTGGTAATTCCTCAGCCTCTGAGGAATGTTCCTCGGAGCAGGTCGACCTCGGTAGCGGACTTTCAGCCGATGCGCGATATGCGTAGAAATGGATTTTACTAACCAAGAACCTTACACATATATTTGACAGAAAACATATGTAACTGAGCCGAAATATTCGGCCGCCAAGTTCGAGGCTGTTCACCGTGCGCTCCACAGCAAAGTTGAGCAGGCACGGTAACTCGCGCATGAGTTAGTTTGTAGGGAGAGCGGACTTGCATGGCATCTAACGCACTTTCCCCTCCTTCCCGCCTGGGCCATATGTCAGGAAATCTTCGACCCTTCCCAATGTCTGCGGTGTTCTTCAAGGTTCCATTCTATCCCCTAACCTTTTCTCCCTCCACACTGACGGTCTAAGGTCCCCTAATGACTGTCTTCTGGTCAATTATGCTGATGATGTGGTTGTTGGACACCCTCTAAAAAGCAAGACACACCTCCGGTCTCTAAAGGATGGCCTAAACCATGTCCTAGCGTGGTCGGAGGAAAATCGTCTCCTAAGTAACAACCAAAAATCCGTTAGGAGGAAAATGATCTCCTAATTAACAACCAAAAATCCGTTCAGTGTATTTTTCGACTGCGGCCCTCTCCTAATCCTGATTCCTCTGACATTCTTCCTAACGAAGTATCCTCTTTCAGGTACCTCGGCGTTACTTTGTCCTCAAATCTTTCATTTTTCCTCCATATTGAGTCCCTATTTATTAAAGTTCATAAACGTGTCTACTACATACGTCGTTTACGTTCCTACCACACACCTCAACCCTTAGTCTGGCGATTCATTGATGCCTGTATTCTTCCTCTTATCCTATACTGCTCCCATGTCATTTTTCCTGCTTTGCTAAAAAAGGATCTTTTAATTTTGAAACGAGTCCTTCAAATGCTCTCTTCTGCCGCTGGTGTTTCTTCTCTCTTTTTAGTCGACACTATCCTGCAACGACATTTCCATGCGGTCAAGCAATTTGCTGGTCGAATTCTAGCTGACGTTGCCCATCCCCTACATTCCGATCTTATGTCTGCCAAGTCTTCCCGCCCGATGCGCCGCAACTTCCGCCTTATATCCTGTCACACATCGGCTTATCGAGCTTCTGTATTGCCATTCGCAGCGCGCTATCTTACGTGCGAAGAGACAGAAATACAGAAGCTCAGACCTGAGCTATCCCCATTATAATCGTTTCTTTGACTCTTGAATAATCTCTTTACTTATTTACTGCCCACAGTGAATGGAGCCAATTTTTTGCTGAAAATTGTGAACTTACGATTTCAAAATAAAGCGAATTCCTCTCTCTCTCTCTCACTCTCTCATCAAAAGGATATTCACGTAATATTGATAACAATAGTACATAGCACTACCTCGACGGGTAAGCTCCTTATTTACGGTTTTTGAAGTAAAAATGCGTTTTTCATTGTTTTTGGTAATTTCATGCAGTGTACGCTGCCTTTTGGAACAATAGACATAAATGTTATTTCAGTGTGTAGGTCCACTTGGCAAATGAACACACAAGATGGGAAAATACCCATGGAGCAATTCAGAAGAGCATTTGCCGAGCATACGCGTGCCTTCGATGAAGCCGTTTCACGGACCCTCGCGGCAGCAAGAGTTCAAGTATTACCATGGTAGGGACGCTCACCGATCGTTCTCAAGGAACTCACTCGTTCCGTTGTGCCTTAGTGGCTCTCTCTCGAGCTCAACCAGCAGCCGCACAGCGGCGCATGATCTGGGCAGTATGTTATTACGGACAAAGACAAGGGAGACTGGAATGGCCATTTCTGGCTTATTAGCCGTCGTCAACCAGTCATACCCGCCGCCGAAGTCCACGCCTCTACCCACCGGGCCACGAGCCCGTTGCCCTGTCGGTTTTCGATCGGGAATATACAGTGGTGGGGGGCGCTCACCGATCGTTCATACGGAACTCACTCGTTCCTTTGTGCCTTACGGGCTCTCTCTCGAGCCCAACCAGCAGCCGCACAGCGGCGCATGATGTGGGCAGTATGGCATTACCGACAAGAATACAGGAACACCTGTCAGCATGGTTGAGGAAAGGTGAAATTAAGAGCATACACAGCTCCATCCGCGCACATATGGTTGATTCTGAGCATCGTATTGATTCTAACGAAGCCTTCCGTATGATTTACAAGGTCCCACCTAACTATCCTAAGCGACTGGGTCAGCG